AAATTACTTAGTCACTGTATTTCATCAGTCAGTTAAAATGATTTTATAACTAATATCAATAACCGCTTAAACAATCTAGTCATCACCAAAAACTAAGGATGGAATATTTGGGAAATCGACAAATCGGAAAAAAGTTAACTTTCAGATATTGAGTATCGAAAGGGGAGAGATGAAAACTTATCAATCCACGTTAGTAACAGTATTATAAATTGTATTCATCAATCTACTTGGATGATGATAATGAGCAAACTTTTGAAACCAGTCTTTCTAGCGAACGGATATCGTTTTTGTCTGGTAAAAAAATTGCGAAATAAACACATTAAATACCAAATACACTGAATAAAAAGAAATTACTAGCTGATAGATGGTTAGTCTCTGAATAAAGAATAGACTGTTATGTAAAGATTGGTAGTTCATGAACATTTTCCTTATCAAGTAACAGAATAGAACGGTAACCTCTGTTCCCAAATATGTAACAGACTGAACAAATTCAACTTCTGATTAGTCATTTTATACTCTCTACTAAATCTAATCACATCTTTCTGATTATGTTCATCGAAACGTATATGACAACTCACGTGCAATTGAGTTTGTTTACATTTAATTCATTTTTTTAACTCATTAACGAACTGAGTCATCCGTACAACAACAAATCTATATCATTGTATGTTAATTATTGTTGCGAACGTATGAATATGCGTGCTTGAGCATTGCTTACTGCCTATGCATTTATTCACGCTGCATGCCTTACTATTAACCGCTTAATTGATTCGAGATGCATTCATTTCACTATGTATACATAAGGTCATGTTATCCATGTTCATTGGTCTCTCTCACTTACTTGTACTCGTATTCGCTCACTCGCTCACTCACTCACTCACTCGCTTGCCTGTTTGCTCTTTCGGCACAACTCCTTCATGCTAGCTTAACGCACCTGTAAATTGGATATATGTGTGTGATCCCATAATAAACATAATCAACACATCGTATTCGCCTTCTGATTAATATACCGTTGGGGCGTTGTCTAGTCATGATTATCAAGACGAACTGTATACCAAGTTTAAAGATTATATTGAACACCGACCACCACACCTAATTTATCTTTTTGCATTAGTTTTTTGTTCTACACCATATTAAACCTAAATTATCTCTAGATAAGTAATGTTTAGGTTCATTTAATCAAATTAACCTCAAATATAATATATCTTATTTTTACCATATTTACAAGAATATTTTCATGGCATATTATTATTCTGTTTACTTATTTGTAAATATTTTAATGTCCTATTTGAAAATAAAACAAAAACAAAAAAGTTTGCAAATTAAAGTGCACACTTAATATAAAAAATAGAAGGAAATCGGCGATTATTGATCGACCCAATAATTTGTTATTATTTAATCAAAGTAATTTTCAGTTAACTATAAACAACAACAAAATCAGTTTTTTTGTTGAAAATTTTATTTTTTTATTTTTAATTTTTCTGAATTTTATACTAAAACTCTCATAGTGATTGGTAAAAAATTTTTCAATATTGATTAATTTTGAAATTTTAATTATGTATATAGAATATTTTTTTAATGTTAAAATCAATTTTCTTAAGTTATGATTACTTAAATCATTTGACGAAATTAACATTCTTTTTTTAACGTGAAACTAATTATATGAAATGTATATAACTATTATTGTATATTAAGAACTGTTAAATACTTAAATAAAAACAATACTTTTAATAGTTAAGATCATGAATTAATTGAAGGTAGACTATCATGGAAAACTTGGAAGAAGTGGATGATCGTTTCATCCTATTGTGGGACTACTCAGTTCAACCGAGTCTGTTGTGAGATAGTAACTCACTGAAGACAATGGTAGATGTGTCACTCAACTTTGTGGATTAGTTGAAGTTAGATATTAACACTGTCGGATGCCAGCTCAGTGGTCTAGTGGTTAAGCGCTCGCGTGCGAGACCGACAGGTCTTGGGTTCGAATCCTGTGGGGCAAGGTCGTGGATGCGCACTGCTGAGGAGTCCCACAGTACGTTTTTTGTGGTGGTCCAGCGTCAACTATTAAAATTACTCTAATATCCACAAAACCTCTTTTGATATGAAAACAATACTGTCTACTTAAATTTGTTTTAATTTACATTAATTTCTAACATTTTAAAATTATAATTTTATTCAATGTGGTAACTTGTAAATAAGCATGTTTTGAAGGAAATTTCAATGATATTGAATAGTTTATTAGGGTTGTTAAGAGTAGGAGTTAAATTTAATGTATGTTGGTTAGCTAATTTAAGGTTCATTGTTACCTATGACCTGAAAACCTGAAGAATATAATGTTTTATTTTTGTTTTTTATAGTTTATATTAAGGACTGACATTGATTCGATAATCATTGTAAACCAGCACTGGAAGAACTGGAAAGCTGTCACGTCGTAGGATGGTCTAAAAGTTAAAGACTGCCTATGAAGTCAGAAGCTTATGAGTTTGAACCCCATTCAGTTCATGTATGTGGTATGTTGAGAAGTCCCATACTGGAACGAAATAGCTGTCCAGTGCTTGTTGGTTTTGAAAGGTTGGCTAACTAAGGCTAGTCCTTGATGTAAGCAGTTTCAAAGGACCCTCAGTATTATTGCATCGTGTTAAACTTATAATTAGTACTTATATATTAATCAAGGATATCCGCAATTTATTTTTCAGTATCTTCATTTGTCGAGCAATGGCTTAATCAATTGGTGTGTATGAATGATGTATGAAAATGATTTCCACCAATCGTGTGTGATAAGTATTCACATCTTAAGAAGAATTATTGATGCTTAATTGTATAAATAGTAAATATGTGTTCACAAAGTAAACCATTGAATTATTATAGCTAAATAGTATAGCACATATACCAAAAAAGACTAACCATTTACAGTCCTAAACATCAATAGAATGGTTCAAACAACCAATACAAATGAATTAGTCTGTTTTTGTTCAGTATTCATCATAAATGTGTACATAAGACTACTTAACAGAAAATACATTAATTTGAATTTTACGTTTATACAGAATCACATCTACAAAGTAGTTTGTGTAGATCGTGATAAGTTTTATGTTGGTACAGTCTTCTTGTAAAATTTTGACTTGTGTCAAGTAATATTTTAATTTATTTACTATTTCATACATTTTAAATCTTACTCATTTATTATTAGATTCTAGTAATTTTTCATGATTATTACTAAACATTACTCTGTTTGTTTCCTTTTAATATCTGTTAAGTGAACAATTATCTCTCATATTATCTAACTTGTAAATGATTTCCGTTCTTTTACTCTTCTCAATCTCTTAATTATTACACAACCTTGTATTAATATATAAAATCTTAAATCACTTCATAATATAATCTTATTCTATACTTCCATAGACATACTTAATTCTGCTTATTACTCATTCAAATAACACATATACATTAACATTCCAACTCTTCCATATATGTTTATGTTTACCATAAACAAAAAAATTCAAACAGCGATATCTTACACAAAATCACCTTGACCAATATTACGTGACATTAATATGATCAGACCTATTTTGATTTTGAATAGATTAAATATTCTATCTGAACTATTTAAATTTAAGTTAATTTTAATTTATTTGTTTTCAGTAGTAGCTACTTCAATTAAATTATGCAACAGATTAATGATTCAAATTCCAATTTAAATTATTGTAATAATAATTATAAAATTGATCAGTTCATAAAGTTCCCTATATAATAACCTTTTCTATTTAAATAAAAAGGGCTTCCTTTTTACTACTATTAATATTATAATAAAGTAGGCATGTTTAAAATAATATAAATTTCACTATTATGGGATATAACTAGAAATAAAACATTTTTAAAAGTGTTAATAAATTATACTGTTATTTAATGTCAGAAGGGATTTTGTGGATATATTATTGTAATTTCAATGATTGAGATCATGAGTCAGTTGATACCAAAGCATGAAAACATTTATGAAAATAACTTTTCGGAACCTAAAATTTTTTTCAATATAAGCATGATGTTTGATGTGTTCAAAGTTTCAAGTATGCTTTTAATCGATAATCATATTAAGTCCATTATTATTATTATTATTATTATTATTATTATTATTATTATTATTATTATTTGGACACATAGATACTGGTACAAGGAGGCACCAGATACATATGCACCACACAAATCTTATTTGATTTGCGTGAAGGCTGTGATACTGTCCGGGTGCCCAAACCGAAGCAGGTGGATTTCGTAGAGGGCCACACCCCAAGCCTTCGACCTATAGGTCTGATCCACAAGGCAGCGGAGCATCGTAAGGAGATGCAGTCTAATGTTAGCCGGTGGCCAACAAGTGGTTCATACGCCATTTGTTCCCTCAGGATCCCGGAGCCCATGTGCACCATTGGTTTGGAATCAGGGTTTTCCAACTCCCCTGGGTGGACTCTCCATATTCACCAACCCGGTTAAAGCGTCGGACATTCGCCTTTCGTCCTCTCGTTTTCGTGAACAACACCCCCGCCACGAGAAGTCAGTGAGTAGGACTTCCCTGGCAGAGGCTATATACGCGTGGCCATGTGAGAGCATTTCGAGAGGGAGAGCGGACTCTCCCCACTCTCGGCCGTACCAGGGCATTTGGGGGCAATGTTATTCAATAATTTATTAAAAGTACTTAATCCCGAGGTGTATTTAAGCTAATAGTAATCATAGATACCTTTGAGCTTTGGTATATATATATATATATATATATATATATATATATATATATATTACTGATTATTATTAATATAAAGATTAAATAGGCTATAGTACGCTAAATAATATCAATATTTATTTTTACACATTCACATTAACAAGTACATTGTAGACCTAATTGATTAAATCCCTTCACTAATGAATGCATAGTTTGAGATTGGTTAGTCTCCTACATATGTTTATCAGTAGCTATTTACATATATCACCAAACACAATAAGTAAAAATGAACGTTTTACGAAGGATCAATTAATTTCTTGAGTTTCTTTTGATCTATTACACTGATTATCACTAACAACATGTTTATTTATCGGGAGTGATTGACAGTGATATCAAGAAAGCTATAAAATTAAGATATAAATTCCTACTAGCAAAGAAGCAAAGCAGATATAGTGATAATTTAACATATTAACCGGTCGAATAAATTTTAAAAGACAGAATCATTAGAACAAACATTTACCGTATTTTTGATAGGTAATTCATAGTTTTTTAATCACTAAGAAAATACTCAAAAATGGAAATAAAAATCCCAAAATAACCAACAGTTGTTCTCTTCTGTCAGTTAGTTAACAATAATAATAACTTTCTTATTATGCTGAATGAATACAAGAAATATGATGACTGATTTTCAATCTATTCATCAATAGACAGAGTAGTTAAATTAATATTAAACAGAAAATCTGATACTTGGGCAGATATTTTCATTTTTTTACCATTTGCCATTTTAAGAACTCGAAAACCAAGAAAACAAACAAATCAAAAGATAAACAATAGCATGAATACGAAGGAACAAAATAGGAAAACATTAAAAGTAATCAAGTCTTGTTTAAATAAATAAACGGAAATATATATATATAGTGCACAAATTAAACTTAAATATGTTTATCAATGTCCTTCCATAAAATTTTTGAATTCCAGAAAATCGATATAACCACTTTTGTCTGTATCACAATAAGCAAATATTTTTTTTATATCACTTGCAGTAAATTTACCGCCATTAGTTAACATGAATTTTTTAAATTCTTTCTTATTTATTCGTCCATCATGATTTTTATCGACTGTTTTAAAAACTTCTGACCAAAATGAATCACTATAGTATAATGAAAAATAAACAAACAAACGAAAAGCATGACGAAATATGACTGATCTAGAAGTTAAAAATGTATAAATTGCATTGAAATGATGAACCGACCAAAGTTATATGAAAACCTGAAGACAATGGATGACCGTTTAGTCCTAGCATGGAACTCCACAAATAGTGTGCACCTGTGATCTCGTAAGCGGGAATCAAACCCGAGACCTTCGGCCTCGCGTGCAAACGCCGAACCTCTAAACCTCTGTAGAGGTAACTGACTGTTTACAAGTCTAGAATCAATCAATCAACGACACGAAATTACATTGAAATAATAGAAACCTCATCACAAACTACCGAAGTAAACTATTTATTACTTTTGCTTTTAAATATCCCACTATTTTTATCTCTATAGTTGGTAACGTCCCTCACTATTTAGCAATTCACCATTTAGTGTCATGCGTAATATCTACTGTAACATTGCATTAAGCCGGGCACATTGAAAACTCCATAGTGTACCTAGGAATGCTAATGCTTATTACTATTTTTGTCGATAAATATGCTACGATTGATATATATACTCTAAAGTGAATCACATTCACCAGTTTTAATGTTTGTATAACATAGAATGAACGATTCACGAATACTTGAGTGCAGTGGAAAACCGTTGAATGTTGTCAGTGAATTTTAATGTTGAGATTTATGATAATAGTTATTGATTAGTGTTTGATTAACTTTCATTAAGAGCCGACGTTAGGTAAATTATTGTAAAAAAATTTACCCAACTATTATAGTTTTTTCCGGTTCATGATTATACAGTGGAACACAAAGTATTATTCTGAAAGCTTTTCCATACATATCTCTCGTTTATATCTAAATTTACAGAGTTCCGAAATTTGGAATAAAGGGCCACATAATGTAAACGGTGTGACTGCAGGCGTAGTACAGCTATAGTCATCAAGTTATGCTACTTCAAATTAATGAAAACAGTTGATGCTTCACTATATCAAGAGTTGAATTAGGGATCATTGGGTTTTAACACAGTTTTTGAGTTGGACTTCATAAATGTAGTGTTGTGTGTCTACAATGTAAAACAAGAATCCCACACTATAAAAATACTTCCGATGGGTCCCATATTAGGATAAAACAGATTATGTTGATCTGTAATCACAATAGTATTAATTGTTTTATGGTTTTTGAAAACAACCATCTGTGATAGAGACTAACTTAAAATCTATTAATCTCAACCAAGCATGAAAAATTAATCAGAATACTTATAAAGGTATCATTATTACTATTTGCGTTTATCCCATCTAAACTTGAAACAGGTTATCATTAAAGCTACAGTTGATTTGTTATGTGTATTTGAATAATATTGGAATCCCGAACGTAGCTGCTACCTTGACGTGGTGGTCGGGCTTGCCTATCGTGATGACCCAACCGAGCTATATTGGCTGGAACACATGTTCCTGCAGGTTCTACCGTGCCAGGCAGGTCGATTGGAGAACGGTAAGACTAAAAGCAGCAACTCAAGGTCTGAGGGCGAAGTCGTACTGCTGACTGTACAGAGGTGTGACAGCAGTAAGGTGTTTCCCTCGGACAACCAGCATCTGCAGCGGTGCTGCCTTCTCACAAGGAAGGAAGGGGTTAGATAAGGTCGACCCTAAAAATGTCACACCTCACCTTATCCCACGGATTTCCGTCTCCGGCGGTTAGGCCGTTTGAAGAACGGAGCTAACACATTAAAAACCTCCCACAAAAAGGCCGTGCGCGACCGGCCTCAAGCAGTTGTCCCTTGGGCTCTTCGGTCACACTCCCAGGTCTTTAAGACCAACACTAATCCGATTTCCTTTTCAGGTTCCTCAAGAAATACCCTTCCACGGTGTGGGAAGCCGGGAAGTGACATCAGCCCTCATACCCGTAACAACACACGAGACCAAGTTGGTCACATTCAAATCCTTCCTACACCTCCTAATAACTCTCTTATCTCCACGACCAACCCTTCTCACATCCCTTTATCACCTCGCTCACTAGTGCAAACGATTGGAGTACGCGGAATGTTATTCCTGGTCTCCTGAAACCACGCTCCAAACTACACGTAGGAGCTTTCAACGTCCGAACACTGTGCCAAATAGGACAACAGGCTTCCATATCTAGGATTTTAGAATCTCGCTCCATCGATGTGTGCTGCGTCTCGGAAACGCGCACACAGGATCCTAGTAGTGTCATTCATTTGACCTCACCATATCAAATTAAGGAAAAAACCCGATTTAGGCTTCGTGTATCTGGAAGCCCTGATGCTGCTTCCCGTGGCCTCGCTGGCGTAGGTATAGCATTGAGTCCTAGAGCAGAAGATAGGGACAATCGTCGTTGCCTCTTCGTCATCTCTGCCTACTCTCCCACTAACTGCAGCTCAGATGATGTAAAAGATGAGTTTTAAAGAAAGCTTTCCGACCTTCTCCGAAAAGCTAGGCGTTCAGATGTAGTAATAGTGGCTGGTGACTTTAATGCTCAAGTAGATAAACTATGCGAAAGAGAAAGACACCTGGGTGAATCTTATGGTGTCGCGGCTCAAAGAACAGATAACGGCGACCGTCTGTTGTAGCTATGCTCAGATAACCGCCTGTTTCTTGCAAACACTAACTCTAAGCATAAGGAAAAACATCTTTTGACATGGCGACCCCCTAATTCGTCCCAACGCTGGACCCAAATAGATCACATCGCTATCAGCCACCGATGGAGGGGCTCGATAGAAGACTGTCGCTCATTCTGGTGTACATGCTTAGACTCAGATCATGCTCTAGTGCGAGCGCGTATTTGTCTACGTCTTACTGGACGTAGGAAACATGGTGCAAGGAAACCCCTTAGGGTCCCACTAAATGATAGTCAAGCTTAGAGTATATTTCAGGAACATCTAGAAAAACAGTTAGGCAGCCATGTAAGTGATACCCACCCCGAGGCAGCATGGAATGACATCCGAAAAGCTGTAGAAACAGCAGTGATGTCTGCAAGTACGGTAAACCATAAGTTAAAGAGAAACACTGGAACTCAGCAGCGTCTACCTCACTGATAGATGCTCGAGAACTCATTCCATCTGGCTCTGAACATAACGAAGAGCGGAGTCAGCTTAAGCGTAAGTTGACTAGAAGCCTACGCAATGATCGTGAACAGTGGTGGGTAGCGAAATCAAGAGAGATGGAAAAGGCAGAGGCAATAGGTAACAGCGGGCAAATGTTCAGACTTGTTAAGGAAACTGGGATTAGGAACCCAACTGTTAGCGAAACTATCTCCGAAAAAGATGGACATATTATTCATTCTCAATCCAGGAGATTGGATCGATGGGCAGAACACATTAGGGATCAGTTCAACTGGCCTTCAGCCACACTTCGGTTTCCCACGTTCTCCTATCTACCTGAATGGCAAATTAATGTAAGTCCTCCGACTCTTTACGAAGTTGAAAAAGCTATAGGAAATCTGAAGCGTGGGAGAGAAGCAGGCCCTGACAGGTTTACCCCTGAGATTTTCAAGGATGGCGGTCCAGTATCAGCAGCGAGATTGACTGAGGTCTTAGGTGGAATCTGGGAACTGGACGTGATCCCATCTGACTGGTTTCAATCATTGATTGTGCCAGTCTATAAAAAAGGACAAAAGTCCTCTCGTGACAACCACAGAGGAATCAGTTTGACTTATATAGTGTCTAAAATATTAGCTTCAATATTATTTCGACGCCTAACCAAAGCTCGTGATATGCAGACTAGAGAAAACCAGGCTGGTTTTTGACCTGGACGTGGTTGTATAGACCAGATATTCACACTACGTCAGGTCCTAGAACATAGATACACATTCAGACGCCCCACAATGGTAGTATTTCTCGACCTTAAGGCGGCATTTGACTCTGTTGATCTTGATGTTGTATGGCAGTGTTTGTCACTGAAAGGAGTACCAAAGAAGTACATCAACCTTATAAAGGCTCTCTACTCGAACACAACTGGTCGAGTGAGAGCTAATGGCGAACTGTCATCAGAACTGATTACCTCAAGTGGTGTTCGTCAGGGCTGTCCACTCTCTCCATTCTTGTTTAACTTTGTCGTTGACGTCCTTTTAGCGATGACACTTTCCTCATCTAAATTTCTAGGAGTTGAACTTCTACCGGGAGATTCACTTGTTGACTTAGAATATGCCGATGACGTAGTTCGATTTGTTGAAGACGCTGACAAAATGCAGAGTCTGCTGACCACTCTAAGCAACAATGCAAGGATGTTCGGCATGCGATTTTCTCCCTCGAAATGCAAAATGTTGCTTCAGGATTGGGTCGCACCGCCACCCGAACTAGTGATAGGGAGTGAAGTAGTTGAGCGTGTCGACCGCTTCACTTATCTCGGAAGTTTCATCAGCCCTTGTGGTCTGGTGTGTGACGAAATCTCAACACGGATACAGAAGGCTCGACTAGCTTTTGCCAACTTGCGTCATTTATGGCGTAGGCGAGATATCCGTCTATCAACCAAAGGACGTGTTTACTGCACAGCAGTTCGTTCCGTCCTACTTTATGGCAGTGAAACGTAGCCAGTAATAGTAGAGGAAATTCGTAGGTTACTATTATTTGATCATAGGTGTCTTCGAAACATTGCTCGTATATCCTGAGACCACCGAGTAAGTAATGCAGTCGTTAGGAAACGGGTACTAGGAAAGGATGGCAAATCAATTGATGAAGTAGTGAAACTTAATCAGTTGAGATGGCTCGGACATGTGTTGCGCATGCCCGACCACCGAATGCCCCGACGTGCGATGTTTTATGGTGTAGGAGTAGGTTGGAAGAAATCTAGGGGCGGCCAGACCAAAACATGGCACAAATCCATGAGGTCACTGACAAGTGGACTGAGTGAGCCATGTTGGTAGGTGTAGACTACCTGGTTGAGGACCGCGAGATGATGGCAACCGATGGTTAGAGATCTTGAATGACATGGCTAAAAATCGTTTGCAATGACGCAGGTGCATCCACTCTTTGTGTTCTCTCAAACTCTAATCTTCTGAATTCTTCATGTCCTTTATTTTCTTTCCAAATCTATTTCACTGGACTATACTCCTTAAATAGCATCATTAAACTCTAATGTTCCTTATCACTACTTATAATTTTAGTACCTCTACCACTATGGGATTTGAATCAATAACTGAATCTCTGTGCTAATGTGGTATGGCAACTCGAAGTGATGTACGTACGTACGAAGTTCCACGTTTTTACTGACTGACTGACTGACTGAATGTTGGGAAAGAATTGATTTTCTGCACGAAGTATTGAAATTAATAATTGAACAAGTTTATAATTAACTTACTTAAACTTACTATCACAATTCATGATTGTTTGCTGATCGGCTATACACATGAAGATAATTAAGAATAATAATTTAAATAAATATAAAGGATTTTATTGTTATAAAACAGGATATAAAATTTAATAATGTCAAATCATTCAATTTTTACACTGTCTATCGAGTTTTGTTAACTCAGTTCACGAAGTGACTATTAATCTAGGTAGTTTAGCATCATAATTAGTTCAAAAGAAACTCATATTTTCAGCTATAAAGTTGTTGGTCGTCATTAAAAAAATTCATCTGAAACTATAAAGGACCCAGTAAACTGTTCCCTTCCCCTCCCCATAATATCATAATCAAAGAAGTCATTTATATACTATTTGAGTCATGAGCGATTTGTTAATGACTAGTTGTGGTTTGCAAAACGTGTTATATCATATTGATCAGTTTTTTCTGTTAACAATATAATCAACACACAATATCTTTTAACTACTTAATAAATAGTATTACTCATTGAAGTTACTGATAAACCTCCGTTTTTCATCATACCATTAAATCACTTATGTACAAAGAATGTTATTTAATGCCAGTTATTTAAATAAATGATTTCATATGTTTGAAATATTTGAGGGAGGAATTATGCACAATAACTCAAACCAAAATAAGGCATATACAAATAAGTGGATTAGACAATGTTATTTGTAGAAATAGCAAACTTTTGTATAGATTAACGCTTGGACATATCCAGATTATGTGGTTTGTAAAACTTAAAGGATATATATATACATACATATTGATGAAAGATTCATTTTTTGCATCCACTCTACAATAAATCATGTTTTTCCTGTGTAATTTAGTACTCAGAAGTACATTTAGTACACAGTATACTATACAAATTTAATAGTTAGCATCATTGTAATGAATAAAATTTTTTACTATATTAATCTGGATTAAAAATGGGTTGAGTGTTTAACTAAAAACATTATAATTAAAGTTCTATTACTCTTGAAAAGATACTGCTAATACGTGAATGGACCTGACTTGACTAAACTGTTACGAAAATAACATGTTTTTTGATAGAAGGTAGAAGTAGACTTCTACCTGAAGTTGTGCTGATGATGTCGTTCAACAGAACGATGAAATCTCCACGACTAAATCATCCAGCTCAGAGAACTAAACTCCATCATAATCATCCACTTGAACTACAAATCTTCACTATTTCGAGAATAACATGTTCATACAAGCAAACAGAGAGAAGATTGAACTTTATAAATAAGAATTCTTTTTATTCAGAAAATAATAATTTAATCAATACACAAGTGATGTATAAGATGACATGTTTTCTAAGAGAAATTATGCATATTTTGTGCTATCCTTCTTTCCGTTACGTTTTCTTCTATTGGTCAATCAATAATTAAAGTTTCCATTACAATCTAATAAGCTTAAGAAATATTTAGCACTTTAAAAGATAATATATACAACAGCTGGATTATTTGACTATGATAGGTGGAATTTCCTCATCAAAAAACCGGTTAGTAATAAATACATATGAATCGATAAATAATGTTTCAATGATAATTTTACACCATCTTTTCACGATAAAAATAAAAATCAATACTCCTTAACAAATTCCGATTTCCTAGTTGAACATTAAATAACCAATTTTATATCATCCATTAACACCGAATGAACCCGACAAAAATGATGAATCTTATTCTTTTTATTTTTAATTAAAAAACATACAACTCAAACTTACGTGGTAATTGAATCTCACGTACAAAATTCATTTCGTTAAATAATAAGCGATTATGAAGTAATATGAATTAAGAAATCATTTTTATACCATTTTCTGGTTAATCTGTCTGTTAGTAAAAAGACGTCGATGCCTATATGTAAGTACGTACACGTAAGTTTGTATCTTTGTGTAAACAAGTATTGTTATTCTGTTATTGAATAAACAATGCTTTAAAAATAACATCAAATACGCTGCCCTTATTAATTAATTTACAAAATATTTATATTGTTATTCATATTGTTCTATTATCATTTAATGATCATGACTTTGTTTTTCTTTTAAATGAATGAAATCATATGGTAGAAGAGTCGACATTAATATATAATGATTGACTACTAGAGATTCAAGTACAACAGTCAAATTTATATTATTTATTATTCAAGTTCAAAACTGAATGATTAGTTTAGTTGACTCATTGACTTAATGTGAATGTAAGTTTAATAGACTGAACTGAACTTTAGTTATGAAAATTTTGTTGTTATCCAGATAAAAGTAAAAAAAACAGATTTGAAATTAAAAGCGTTTTTTTTTATCGAAAATTAGAACCAACATGAGAAACTAGATAGAGTAGGACAAGTACTCCAGTCTAGTTTAAAATCCATTAACAATACACAGCAGTGACATCACTTAAATTAAAACATTTAAGTGTGAAGGATAGTAGTACATTTTAAACAACTGATTCAAAATATATATGTTACAGATTTTCAGCCTCAGGTTAATTATGGGATCATGAAATAGTAAGGGAGATAGTAAATAAGAATATATACAACAATGTAGTTATATTACGACAATTATAAGATGACCATGATAACAACTTAAAAATATTTCTAGTATTTGTTGGAGAGAAACGTAAGTATACTGTTAGTTAAACAAAAGATTACAATTTGTGTTTAATGTCGATTATAATATTGTATTATTTAAAATGGTTGAAAGTGATCGATGAGAAACCTGAGACCTAGATTTCATACTTAGTGAAGATCGTCGATGAGGTTTTAGCGATAACATAGTTAATATTTATAGTAGGATTAAGACTAATCTGATCCAGTGATTTAAGAATTAATACCATAAATACGTTCAGTTTTATCGATTTTTCTGGATCTGCTCACTAGAGATATGTAATACATTGATAAATGAAAGGTGCTCTAGATGTTTAGCTACAATCTTAATCAATATAAATAATGACGAAGTGTTGTTTTGTACTTTACTACTTGTTTTTAAATCTACTGTACCTATGATGAGTGACCCGTTAGACCTGTAAAAAAGATTTATAGATTATAGATTAATTCTAAAGATATTTTTGGTTACAGCTTGATTTTATCTAACGAACCATTGAATATCGAAAATCACAAATAAACTAACCCAAAAAAATTTTTAGGTATCATCACTAAGGTTTGACTTGATAATTTAGAATAAATTGAGCACTGGGTAGATTGTTATAAATAAATTCATATACTTGTAAAATCCCAATGACTAGAAAAATTAGATTTCCTAACGTTTCGTGACTTAATGCAAACCACTTCTTCAGAGAATGAATTAATCCAAGATTAAATAGTTTGAACAGAACAACAAGAATATTATGTTCCGTTAGTACTATTTAGACTTGGTTTAATTTTTATTGGGCGTTTATTTATTCTCTGAAGAAGTGGCTTACACTAAGTCACGAAACGTCAAAAAATGTAATTTTTCTAGTCATTGGGATATTACAAATATATTGTTTATTTTAACCCCCAAAAACTTTTTTATCAAAAACAATAGTTATGTAGTCAGTAGTGATTGAATTTAAAATGGATTTTTTAATTTCTAATGAGTTATAATTGTTGGACCTCGGTAATTTCGGAAATGAAACAATCAGCCACCAGTAGCATTGTATAGTTACCGATTCGTATCACAAACTGACCAATACTTAAAACTTTGTACTACTGTTTTGTAACTCAGGGATCTAAAGGTAACATGACAGCACTAGATTCAATTACTTAAAAATTCATATATGCACATAAATGTTTTTTATTCAATGATGAAATTACCAAAATGATTTGAAAATATTCATCATATTTTTACTGTGCCTTAGTAAGCAATTCATTACATCAAATTGAAGAAATAAAATTTTTTTACGATGTAGATTGATCTTTTAATTAAAGTTAAGAATAAACTTCAAATATTTTAAAACTGTTGAGATGACCATTTGTGGGACTTGTAATAAATAATAAATTGAGATTTGAAGTCAATTCACATTATTTAAAAAATAAACTAAAGGAAATTAAAAAGCGAAGAATGCAGTAACAGTCCTTCATTCTGGCTTAGAATCTGTCAGAAGTATTTATTAAAAGAACTCTTAAAAATCAAAACTACAATATTTGTGCATTATAATAAGTACATCATTGTTGACTAAATTGGTCAAAAACAATTTTTAATATTATATCCTCGTTCTACACTATTAGTAACAACCACTGAAAAACTGTAAACACTTGACACGCGTTTCTTCCTGGTGTGGGACTTCTCAGCAGTATTCATTCATGATGGATGAAGAATAAACCAAATGATTTAACAAAAAAAATCAGTTATAACCAAAAATTGATCAGTTAAAAACACTTGACATCTGGTTTTTTCTAAGTTCTTCCATTCGAAAATGTGATGTTATAAATGGGGATCGACATCTAAAAATCACGCTATGCTTGTCCAAATATTTCGTTGACTTTAAATAAAAATATTTTTGAAGGTATCATAAACAGACTTAAGCTGGAAAATCAATAACAACTAGTAAGGAAGAAAGAGCTATTTTATCTTTATTTGAAAGTCTTCTGGAGTCCACACTCTCAGCTTCCACAAAATTATGACTTCTCTTTCTTTCTCTCTCTCTCTCTCTCTCTCTATATATATATATATATATATATATATCGAGAGTGAATGAGTAAAACTTGAGGCTTGCTAGCTAGTTGGTTGAACAGCCACTATCAACGTCATACATGAAATCTGAAGCGTTTAATGAAATCTATTACATATTTTTTCAGTATGATGATTGAAATTAATTGAAGTTGAGATGCTGTAGATATCGTAATGTTTTGAATATAACTCCTCTTTTCACAAATTTTTAACTATAAATGAAAGCAAATTAGCAAGATTTCAGTCGATAGTATGTCACGTTAAACAACTTGTTTCTTCATTGATAACTGACATCAAAAGTCAGACAACTTCATTTAGAGAAAAGTCGATTTTTTAAAATTTTATCTGGTCGTACTAAGAATCAATGAAAGTCTACCCGTCTCAATCATTATATATCTGATTATCGGTGTTAACATCTAACTTTAATCAACAATTCACACTAATTTGAAATTTGTAAGTCAAATTTAAATAAAACACTGAACAGAATACTAAATACCAAAGTTAACGAAAGATGTTGATCGACCCCCATATCAAGCAACATAAGTGATTGCAAAAGGAAAATGTTCCACGAGAGGAAGATAAATTGCCAGGTAGTCTACAAAGAATGATATGTTGCTTCAATGCCTCGTAATAAGTGAGAAATTAATTTGTAGTTGGGTTGTTGCGAGTAAACAAATTATTCACGTTTCTGAGATTATCACTGATATTTTTATCTGGAACAACCTAGTAGCAAATATTTAGGCATGAGCTGTGTACATTACTATTCAGTTCTACCAGCAAAGCTTCTACACAAGCTCCACGCTCTTCTTTGGGACATCAGGGTGGTAAGCGTCTTCAAAAGTAAATTATTGGTCGTACGAGACCACAGAAAATAACAGTTATTAATCATACACTATGAAAAAAAAGAATCAAATAAATGAATAGAACATGTATTTAATGTTAAACTAAATACTTGTGTAAACAATTCATTTTGTGTTATATGATGACAGTTTCTTTCTACCTTTCGGTGAAGTTTTGTGGGTAATCAGCTTATGTATAATTAATATTAGACGACAATAACACTTATGCACATGATAAATGCTATTCTACGTTTGATAATATATTAGGAATTGATGGGAGCTTCATTCATTAACAAAAACAGTAATTTTCAGCATGAGGGTGCGGAAATTGTTGAAATCATGAACCAATTAAAGTTTGACAACCACTGAAAAACTGTAAACACTGGACGCGCGTTTCTTCAGCAATATTCATCCACGATCTGGCAAGCGAGAATCAAACTGAAAATCTTCGGTCGCACAATTCCGAAGATGAAACGGCTTTCCAGAGTTTTCAGGTGTTCAATGGTTATCCAACTTAGATCAGTTCATGATTTCATAAAAAAATAGTATTGATTGTCTTAAAATCATTATTAAGTAATGTAATATCTAACTTCAACCAATCCACCAAATTGAGCGACACATCCACCATTGTCATCAGTGTGTTACTATCTCACAACAGACCTGGTTGAACTCCATTGGTCACTGCTTCTCACTAGAACTCCAGGATATACCTCTTGAAGCTAGTCACTTGTGAGCATATGTTGATTAATATCGGAAGGGTTGAAATAATGAGTCGGTTCGAATTTCGCTAGGGGGAATCGTGGATGCGCACTGCTGAGGAGTCCCACGATAGAATGAACCGACCGTCCAGGGCTTCCAGGTTTTCCATGGTGGTCTAGCTTCAACTGACTCATGATCTTAACCATTGAAATTACTATAATGTCCATAAAATCCTTCTGATATTAGTAAGTTTTTTGTTTAAAAACACAGTCCTACACAAAAAAATTGATACAACAAATAGAAAAACTATAAGAAGGGGTTTTATCGAGATTGTAGCAATTTCTATAGTTGAGATAATGAGTCAATTGACGCTAGACTACCATGAAAAACCTGGAAGTACTGATAGGTCTTGGACTCGAATCCTTCGAGGTGAGGTCGTGGATGAACAATGCTGAGGAGTCCAGGTTTTCTATAGTGGTCTCGCTTCAATTGACCATGATCTCAACTATGGAAAAACTATAAATTCAATGAAAATTTCTGGCCATTTCTTCCTTGTTGATAATAAATCATTTCAAATATCTAATTTTTATTTAATAAATATTGATTTTTCATTGCTAATATGAAATTTGAGAAATTTAGAACAGCATATATAAGCGTACAATATTGTTTTCGATTAGATTCTCATCAGGCTTTACTCTAATATACAGTAA